GAAAATTTTCCAAAATAGTTCTAAAATTTGAGATTTTTTTCAATTTCTTTAAGTTTACTCCTCTGTAAGGTATTCAACACTGTGATTCTGCAATGGTCAGATAATGTATAAACAATTTTCTGTGAAACTAAAAAAACTCTTTTGTCTACTGCCAGTACAGAAATATAGTCGTTTAAAGAATAAATTTAATGAAAAATTAATTAAAATTCGACATTATGTTCAGATTGTTTGGTAATATCTTTTTTCGCTGAACATCTGAATACCAAAATACAATATGTTTTAGAATGTTTAATTTTTTAAAAATTTGAAATTGATAAATTATTTAATTGCCATGGAATCAAAACCATAAGGAGGCACCAACGCAAATTATTATAAAATTAGTTTTAGGTATTAAATTAAAATTGTTTAAAATTGAACCTTCTTAAACATTGTATTTTGATATTCAAATAAGGTTCAACGAAAAAAGATATCAAATAATCTAGACCTAATATCAAATTTTAATTAATTTTTCCTTAAATTTGAACTTTAAATGGTCATATTTCTGTTCTGGCAATAAACTAAAGTTTTTTTTTTAATTCTACAGGAAATTGTTAATATTTTAACTCACTTTTGCAGAATTACAGAGTTCAATGCCTTATGGAGAAGACAACTTAAAAAAAGTGAAGAAAATCTCAGTTTTTAGGACTATTTTCAAAAATTTTCTTAATTTTATGAATTAAAATGTTTTAATTATAAAACATAATCTTTTTTAGTGTGAAAAATATAACTTTTAAAGGAATAAATATTTTGTTAAACTTTATTTTAAGGGGGTAGTCTGGTGTTTAGACCTGTTTTTGGGAGTTTATTTGAAGATTTTTTTTTATTATAAAATAAAATATAATCACACCAAATCTTTTTACTTCGTTTTATTCTCATTATAAAGTGTTGAAAAAAATTATAATCGAATATTTTTTACTAGATTTTGTTATTTATATTTAATATTAATGTTTATATAACAAAAAAATGAAGTAGGCTGCTGTCGCGAATGATTTACAAAAATCTATCCGACCATTGCTCCAATTTTTTACAGCTTGTTCCACACAACCATGGCTATCGCCCGAACTAAAATAAAACATTTTTGTTAATAAATAACAAAATGGTGAAGTTATAGAGAAAAAAAAATTCAAAAATCATCTGTTTTTTATTGAAAAAAAGTTATAAATAAATTTGCATAATTTTAGTTGAGGTCATAGCTTAGATTGTATAGAACAAGCTGTAAAAAAATTAGAGCAACTGGTCAGATAGATAGAAAAAAAACTATGTATTATATAATTTGAGTTTGTCTCCAACGATTAATTTAAACTTTATCTCAAAATGATCATAATGCATCACCAAACCTGCGATGGATCATGAAGTTTGGGATGAACTTAATCGAATCTCACCGTGAAAAATAATAGGTCAAAAAACATTTTTATTCAAATAATTATTACAATAATTTTTCTTTAAATTAACTTAAGTGGTTATGTGAGTAATGTCATTTTTTTAAGATCCTCGAAATAATAAAATATGGATTTATCAATTTTTAAAAATTTACTTCTCACATCTACAAGGGGGCTTTATATTAAAGTTTTTTTTTTGACAAACATTTTTTGCATTTAGGCCTTTAAAAAAGAAATTGCTTCTTATATCCACTACACAAACGCAGGTAAAACTATATTACTTTATTTTTACCACGTTTTATTGCTCAAATAACATGGATTCAACTTTTCCTTTTCGGCAGTAATACCTATTATAGAATTTAAAAAATCCCACTTTAATCTAGAAAATCTCCTTTAAAAAAGTGAAGAATAAAAGCAATTAAATTGATTCAAGGTTTTCTTGTTACGTGTATGTTGAGGTGAACTTAAAAATTTCCATCAAATGGAAAAAAAGTTTTAATTTATTAGAATACAAAATAATTAATTGAATCCATATTCTTTCCAATTTTTTGTATTGGTAAAAAAAAGAAAATTTACAAATTGAATAGAATATATGAATTAAAATTTTTAAAAATAAATAACTAATTCTATTAGGATATCTTTATTTTAGTATGTTTATGTGAACGATGAGAATGACAACATAAACTTTAAAAAATACTGACATCAATGACTAATAAATAAAAATTTTGTGATTTACAGAATTCAGTATAACTAAAAGCATTGTAACTTGTTTTTTTTACTTAGGTTATGTTGCCCAGTATATTTCTTCTTTTAAAAAAATATAGAGATTAAAATTATGGAAAATTTTATTTATAGAAAGTAGAAATAATTATTTCTATAAATTGCAAATCAAATTTTCAAAAATTTTAATCTCTATATTCTTTTAATAGAAGAAACTTAATGCGCAACATAACCTAAGTAAAAAAACAAGTTACGGTATTTTAGTTTTGCACGAGTTTCGCTATATGATAAAATTCAAATTATTTGACACGTGCAATGGAAGAAGTATATTTAAAGAAACCGGTTATGATAAAAGAATCACTTGCAATTATTAAAAACAAAATATCAACTAACCTCTGTCAAATTTTTTTCCTTCAGGATCAATGTCTTTTACATTAAAAATATCTTCAAATAAAACACCAGCCATTTTTAAACAATATCTAAAAAAATATTTCTATTACAAATTTTGCAATTTTAAAAACGTTGTTCAGTTTTAAGTATTTTTCATTAATTTTAACTCTTATTGTATTACAAATTAAAACCGGCAAAACTTTTATTTAAATCACATTAAATTCAATTTAGTTTATTCTTGTTTTTCTTTTTCTTCTTCTGCAGGTGGCTTTTCATGAGGGTAATGGGCAAAAACACAGTGAAATCGCATGTAAGGGTGAAATCCCATGTGAGCGTAAAGCCCTAAACACAATTGTTCGCAGGTGGCGTTCGTGAACGTATTGGGTGTTGCACACGGAACTCATGGAGCATTTACACCTTCGGCAAAAAATTTTCTTCACTTTGCATTTTCTGAAATACACTTACCTGATTGGTTGTCCACAATGAATGAGATTCTGGACAACCAATCAGGTAAGTGTATTTCGGAAAATGCAAAGTGAAAAAAATTTTTTGCCGAAGGTGTAAATGCTCCATCAGGCGTTTTCAGATGCCCCTCTATCTCTTCTCTCCTCTTCTGTCACTTCTAAATTGAGAACGGAAGCACATTTAAAATGTTAAAAAATTTTACGAAATTATTGCAAATAAGATATTATTTAACTCAACTGAAAGTTCTCAATTGACCAATATTTAAATATTTTATTTATTAATTAATACTTATTTACCAACAATAAACCAGAAATTAAATAACAAAAAGAGGTTATGTTGCCATTGACGTACAATGTCGAAAACCTGGTTTTCTACAGTATTATACGTATAATACGTTATTTATGTATTATACGTAGAAAACCTCCACATAAGCACTTTTACCCAACTCTGCCCTCTATAGGCGCCGTCCCATGACCACGCCCATGACAGAGTGAAACGCCGGCGTAAAAGCGGAAATCATGAGAACGAAAAAGATGAAGATATCTCACTATCTCTTTCGTTCTCATGCTTTCCGCTTTTATGCCGGCGTTTCACGCTCTCATGGGTCAGCTTCTCATGGTTGGTTTCCATTGTCCCCACTTGCCAAAATCTCCACTCAACATTTGTCTTTATTCTCCTCAACTACCGCACTCAGCTCTAGTAAAAATTTAGTTACTTTATTGTTAAAATTAAAAGTTACTACAAAGTTACTAAATGTTTACTAGATTAGGGTGCGGTAGTTGACGAGAATTATGACAAATGGCGAGTGGGGACAATGGGAACCAACCTTATATATTACCATCGAAAGTCGCGAGCCGAGAGAGGAGGATGGTAAACGTATTCACTATTTTAAAGTGTTCTTACATATTAAAACAATTATTTAATATTATATTTCTTAAAAAAACATTTTTTGTTTAAAACAATTTAAAAATACCCGCCGTGAAAATGACTTTTCACGCATTTTCACGGTCCAGAAATAATGTTCATCTGATCGAAATTTGAGGTATAAAAGCACCTTAAAGGCCTGAGCATAATAGAATTGTAACCAGAATCGCAAACGCAACCGGAACTACCGCACCCTTCTCTAATGAAAATGAAGTATTTTTAGGGTACGGTACGGTCACACGACTTTTGGAAAAACCTGACTTACTTCTTATGAATTCTGACTACAAATATTTAAAAATTAAAAAAAATAAATAAAAATCATTTATCGTTACATTTTTTTATCTTTACGTTACACATAATAATTATTTTTACAATTTATTATATTTATTTACTCATATCGAAGAAAATATCTCAAACGCAGGGAATCGAACTCACAACCTAACGAACGCAAACCGAATATCTAGTGATCTAACTCCTGAGCTAAACTAACCTAACTGAGATTGTATAAGCAGAATACGGTTTTATAAAAATAAAAGATCTTATTACTTTTTTTCAATTTTATCAACATATTTTGTTGATGATTATTATGATTATTTTAAAATTTTTTATAATTTTTAAAAATTAATAAGGAAAGTTATAATAGGTATATTCTTTGATCAAAAAAATTTTTAGTCCAATTATCATATACTTTATAATTATATTTATCATATAATAAACCTATTAATGTATTGAATTAATAAAATTTGCACTAGCAAGTATTTAATTAAACAAAAAATTTGTATGTAAATATTATTTGAATTCCAACTTAAAAGAATATGTGTAATATAAATACAATAGCTAGATTAATAAGACACTGTCGGATTGTCTCAAGTAAACTCTGAACGTATTTTATCAAGTTTCGCTCAAGTTTGAGCACATTCATTACTATTATAATTAATTATAATGATAAGAATTAATTAATATGCATATATTAATTACTATTAAGGCTCATATTATTTTCATATGCTTTCTCTATTATTTTTGTAGCTATATCTGGAATAATCTTTCAGATGATTAAACAACACTATCTGAATAATAATAAAATTTGTTAGTAATAAAATATTTTTATTTTTTACTCATTAAGCTCAAAAAATATTTCTTGGTGTGCAATAAATTCCAATGACGAAAATAGATTCTTACTTTAATTATTTTAAAATATAAAAGTAGGAAATATAAGTATATAGAATAATTTTTTCGAGAATTGAGAAGTATCAACTTTTTCTTCTTAATTTTTCACTGGCGTCTGTTTAGCCTTTTCCTCTCTCTTCTCTTCATCAGGACCAGTCTGGATTACTGTAATACTTTCTCCTCTGATGGGATAAACTTAGAATTGTGTTCCATCAACCAAAGTATACCGTTAATTATACTATCTATTTCTGCTGAATCACTTGCTAATGAGTGATTATCCTCATAAATATGCATTCTAAATGAATCACAGTCAATAATTAAAATTATAATTAAATAAATTCAGAACATTTTTCTTAAGCAGTAACAATAAAAAGCAATAAACAATATATGTATAGGGAAAACATTTTCAGAAGTTCCAATTTTAAATCTGTACTCGGTCAATAAGTTAGTTAAGGTTTCTAATACTTTAAATTTTTAGTAAAGGGCAAATAAATTAATTAATTAATTTTAAAGTAATTTAAATTAATAAAAACAACTCGAACTTAAGTTTAAAAATGCCATTAGTGAAAATGAATCACAAGTTTTATAGAAATTATAATAGAAAGTAACGTTAGAAATATGATTCCAATGAGAAAATGGCTATTTCTTTTTATGAAATCTATTTTAAATTATGAATTACCTTGTTTTTACATCATTGGCTTTTAATCTATTATACCAAAGTTTTCCTTGGGAAAATGGTACTCGCAAATCATTACTGCCTAGAAGAAGTAGAGTGGGTGCTTTGACTTTGTTCACATGAACGATTGGTGAATGATTGAACATCTTTAGGTATATTTCAGAAGATTTTATTTCCATTGTTGTTGGAAGTAAAGTTTCAATGAAGGGAGTTCCACTTACAGCTGCACACCTACGAAATAATAATTCTAATAAACAATTATTATTTTCCATATAAGTGCGTACAATAAATGACTTTATGAGTAATGTAAATTGCACAAGTATTTTACGCACGTTTATTACGAACTATTTTTTTACAACGCCTGTAAACTTAATTAAAAAATATACAGCATAATTATAAATAACTAATTATATTTATTTTAATTACCAATCGGGGATGTCAGATGTGGTATACATAGATGCAATGTCAATCACGGGATTAAATGAAACAACTGCTCTGTAGAGATCCTGTAAATTAATATACATATGAGGGAAAATTCCTGAAGTGATCCAACTTTAAAACTGAAGGTTTTCGGGTCGGGCTGAAATTTGCACAAACTTTAGTACTATGGGTGAGTACTTCACCCATAAATTATTATTAAGTTTTATGCAAAACTGTAGAGGGGGGAGGGGGTTCAAGTTTTTCGTTAAATGTGAACAGTGGATTTTTTAAAAAATCGTAACTCCTATATAAATGGATGAAAAAAATTTTGACCTGTATGTTTTCAATAGGTTTTTTTGTGCCCTTTCGAATGGTGAAAATTTTTTTAATTAATTGATGTTTATAACAAATGAAATATTTTACAAACAAATAAAGTTACCGTAATTCTGAAGTTAGCAATTGAAAGTTAACGTAATTTCGCATCCAACGAGCCCTATGTTAAGTATTTTGGATAAGTAGATTGTTAATAAACAATTAGTTAACATTGCAACTGTTTATTAACAATCTACTTATCCAAAATACTTCATAAAGGGCTCGTTGGATGCGAAATTACGTTAACTTTCAATTGCTAACTTCAGAATTACGGTAACTTTATTTGTTTGTAAACATTAATTAATTAATTAATATCTCGAAAACAAAAAAAAACGTCATTCTAGTTTTTTTTGGTATTGAAAGTATATATCTTAAGCTTCATTTTGAGGGTAAAAAAGGGCCTTTTTGAAAGAAAAAATCAAAAATATTTTTGATTTTTAAAAAAGGAATTAATTTTGAATTTAAAAAAAAAAAAATTTCACCATTCGAAAGGGCACAAAAAAACCTATCGAAAACATACAGGTCAAAATTTTTTTCATCCATTTATATAGGAGTTACGATTTTTTAAAAAATCCACTGTTCACATTTAACGAAAAACTTGAACCCCCTCCCCCCTCTACAGTTTTGCATAAAACTTAATAATAATTTATGGGTGAAGTACTCACCCATAGTACTAAAGTTTGTGCAAATTTCAGCCCGACCCGAAAACCTTAAATTTTAAAGTTGGATCACTTCAGGAATTTTGCCTCATTTATATTTTTTAACCCTTTGAGGAAACAATTTTTCCCTTCATAAAATAAACTTTTAATTGGTTAAGGGGTTACACCATTCTGAACCACGGTCAGTTCAAACGCCTATTGTTATTAGGAAGGTGCAAGGAGGACTCATAGCAACAGCCAGGTCTTCCCGTAGCAACTACCTCTTTTGTATATAACATTGTGTAACTCCTTAATTTTAAAATTCCTCCAAACGGACGGTTATCCCATGACTTACGGGATATTGAGAGCTGAGATGAGAAACTAAGAATCCTCCATGAGAACCTCCATTCAATCCAATATAATTTGGATCAAGCCATGGATATTTTTTCAAGGCATCGTGAGTGGCAGTGACGCAATCCAAAACGTCTACTTCACCAACTTTACCTGATAGATAATTAAGATTTTTTTCACCCATTCCTGTCGATCCTCTGTAATTCACATGGACAATTCCGAAGCCTATAAAAAAATTATTAAATAAAACAATAAATTTTAGGGATTGGTTGATAACATTTCAAGAAAGATATTAATCTGTCAAGATAATTCTACCTTGCAGAAACTTATAAATTTAGACTTTTCTAAAGAGGAAAAAAATCACTTTCTGAATCGTGTATATAGTTAATAAATATGAAGACGATATAATCTAACTAAGTAACTATCGTAAAAGTAAACTATTTAAAACAAATAAAAATGCTTACCCAAAATGGCTAAAATGCAAGTCTCAATTGAGAAACTATTATAAAAAGAAGAGTGTGGTCCACCATGAAGATTAAGAACCCATGGCACTGTTTTACCTTTACTGTTTTTTTTCCCAAAGTAAGTGTAATTAAATTCATCTGAAACGTATTCCAACAACTATAGGAATGTGTGTCAATAATAAGATTAAACATTTTTAATACTATTAGAAATAAAAGACTACAGATAACTGAGATTAATTTTAAAGAAGATTTTAATGAAAATTAAATATCGTTTAAAAGAAAATAAAATCGAATCATGTAAATATATATATATTTTCAATACTTACTGACTTCTTCTTCAGAATTATATTTGTAATCTGTATGTTCTATTATAAGATTTTTTATTCCTTCTGGCATTGCTACAGGTTTTGTAATTTCCAGTAAATGTAAATTTGAAAGTTCTGCATCTTCAACTGAAGGATCGAATCGTCCCACGACTAAACGAGGCGGTTCAATGGAAGACATTCTCATCAATACAAGTCTATTTTGTTTTACATCAAGAACAAGTAAACTGGAGTCATCGTTTTGAATTTCATTCAAATTTTGTGTTTCTAACGGGCAATAATTTTCTATTAAAATTAAATAAATTTTTATTTTAACATAATAAGAATTGTACGATTTATAGCTTACCAATATTAACCATATAAGATTTAATGTTATACCGTTGAGTAGAACTTAAGAAAATATATCGAGAATCATTGCTAAAACAACGACGAGGTAGACTTTGATTATAAAGCCCATAGAATTTTTTATCTTGAGCGATCGTTACAAAATTAGGAACAATATTAATAAGTGCATCGGCCTAAAAAGTGGTAAAAAGTAATATATATATATATATATATATTTCTTTAAAATTTTAGTTTTTTTTAATTTGATTAATAAATTTTACTTTTTATTTTCTATTCTTACTTTCTCATTTGTTTCCCATTTAAGCCGCATTAATCTATGGCATGAGTGATGTGCACCTCCCAAATCTCGCTCCAACCACACAAGAGTTTTTCCATCGGGACTGAATCGCGGAGCACGTACAGCACATCCATCGGTTGATATTTTTTCTTTCATTTAAGACAAGAATTTTATTTAATTAACAATGTACTTATTTCCTATAAATTACATATGTAATAAAAATAAATAAAATTAGTTGCCGTAAAAATCAAATCAATTTTTCATGTTTTTGTATGCTAAACATAATTCCATAAGGTAAAATTTTTTTTCTAACAGTTTTCGAGAAAAATACTATTTTATTGAAGTTTATTTTAATTTTATTTAGTAGATATAGAAAATTGTTCTTACGGAATTCAGAATTTTTTAAGCAGAATATCCAACTAGTTCTATTTGTGCAGGCATATAATCCTAAATATCTTGTTTCGCATTTCCAAGCTACGCCAACTAAATCTTCGCCATTCGGAGTCCAAGTTACTTGTCCAACGAAATATTCTTCAGGAATATATTGATTAATTTTTATCAGGTCCTCATTTATGTCAACAATTACAATTACTGATTTGTGCTTGCCAACTAACTTTTCACCCCAATGTGGTTTGAAAATATATTCATTTCCCTAAAAAATAATTGTTATCTTTTTTTAATGCTTTATTCGTAAACTTCACCAAAAGTAAAATCAAAAATTTTAAAGTTTTTTTTAAATTAAAAAAATTTTGAGGTTTAGCAGCAGCGTTTCCGTATTATATTATAGATTTCTAAAATTTACCCTTGATATTTCTTCCGCGTCCTTAATTTCTTTTTCCCTTTTTTCTTGGCTTTTTTGTTTGTAAAATGGTTCACATTTTGGTTTTTTCCTCTCAGCAATGTAGAGTAATTTCGATTTATCCGGAGAAAAGTGAAATGAACTGAATTGATCTGTGAAAATATTTTATATTAATTTAACATTAGCTATATAAAATCACTGGAAAATCATATAGAAAACTCATTGAGCCCTGAGAAATTACCATCAGTGTAAATTTCTCCATGTGCATCATATGCTGATAGATCATAATTTTTGATTAAATGTTGTCTATCCCAAATTTCGATGAATTGTTTGGAAGTGTTGTCTACTTTAACTTGCCTTAAAATTGCTTTATATTGTTCATCCTCAGAAAAGGTGCTTAGGAGTCTGAGAAAATTTATAAATGATTCGTTTCGTCAATATTATTATCTCATCAGATGTAACCAGTGCTTCTTTATCATAAAGAATGTTAACATAAAAATCCATGCAAAATTTAATAATTACGCCAAAGTGCAAAATGAAGTAAACAAAAAAAAGTTGAGCAAGATAATCCTTTCTAATATTCAGTGCAATATAAATTTAACTCAAAATTGCAAGTAAGATAACAATCTGAAAATTAAAAAGAATTACCTTTCACAATTTTTTTGAAACTATTTTTCATTTTGTAGTTACTAATTGATACTAGCTTTCATGATTTTTTTCAAATTTTTTTAACAAGCCGTTTTCGAGATATAAATTTTTCAAAATTTCAGAAATTAATTTTTATTTTTGAATGCTCATAACTTACTTAAAAATGCATCAATTTTAAAAGTTTTTTTTTTAATGTGTGTTTTTAAACGAACTTTTTAAAAAAAAATTGCAATTTTTTTCAAATGACATTACTATCAAATTTTTAAGTTTTAAAGATAAAAAGTAATTTTTCTCAATTGAGTCGCCGGAAAGTAAAACCACACATAAAATTCTGACGGCCATGTTAATTCAATGGGAGTCAGAATTTTATGTGTGGTTTTACTTTCCGGCGACTCAATTGACGCACTGATCGATTTTTTTCAAATTTTTTTTTTAAAAACAATACCCGAAAATTTTATTTGTATCGTGAAAATCATAAAAAAGTCCTAAAATTTATGGTTTTTTTCGTTTATTGTGTAAAATAAGAAAAAAAATTATTTTTAGAAAAAAAATCCTATTAAAATATATTTCTTATGACTTATGCACTTTTTAAATATTTTGCATATTTTATTCAATAAACGAAAAAAACCATAAATTTTAGGACTTTTTTTATGGTTTTTACCATAAAAATCAAATTTTCGGGTATTGTCGTTAGGATTTTCGTAATCAGAGCATCAAAATACATAAAAGTACGTAGTAAAAAAAACCAAAAATATTTTTAAAAAATATAAAATTCAAAAATTTTAAAAAATTCCAAAAATATTGAAAAAATTGTTTCCCCACAATCGGACTAGGCTTACAATTTTCGTAAAAAGTAGTTTTTTTAAAAAACTTGATCAGTATGTCAATTGAGAAAAATGACTTTTTATCTTTAAAATTTAAAAATTTGATAGTAATATCATTTGAAACAAAAATTTCAATTTTTTTTATAAGTACGTTTAAAAACACATTTTTTAAAAAAAACTTTTAAAATTGATGCATTTTTAAGGAAGTTATTAGCATTAAAAAATTTAAAGTCATTAAAATTCTGAAATTTTTAAAAATTCATATCTCGTAAACGGCTTGATAAAAAATTTGAAAAAAATATTGAAAGCTAGTCTTAATTAGTACTAAAAGAAAAAAAAGTTTCAAAAAAATATCGGAGATGTAATTGCAGCTGAACTTCAAATTTGACGTGGAATACATCATTATATTTTTTTTAATATATAAAATATACACACTCATTGGAGACATCAACGGGAAAACTTTTGGTGAGAAGATTTAAATTTGAATCAAGACTGAAGTCCTGTATAAATTTTTGCTTTGAGCATCTTTCCAAATTCCTCTGAGACCAGTGACTCTGAATAGTAATTCCATTTTTTGGATATGATGTTATTCTAGCTTTGGTTAACGTGGGATTTTGCGAAAGAATTTTATAAAGGTTGAGAATCTTATCAATCTAGAAAAATAATTATAAAATTTATAATAAGTTATGAATATAATATAGTTAATGGATTTATAATTCCCTATATATTTCAATTCTTGATAAGTTTAATAATATTTAAAAATAATTTGTTTTTGAAAACTTCAGTTCTTCTCTATTGTCTCTGTTTAATTAGGGCGGTTTAGATTCTGCACATTTGGATTGTTTACAGGGCAACTGTATACGACTAATCCTGCACAGTGAGACTGTATACAATTTTTACTGAAATAATTCTTTGAAACTCTATACAGTTGAACTGTGTACAGGTTGAATGCTATGCACCTGGAATTATTTTTTATACATTTAATTCTATACTGTTGGACTCTATGCAAATTAACTTCATGAAATTTTAATATTAAACTCTAAATTGTGGAATTACATACAGTGAAACTCAATACAGTGAAATTATATTTTATTTATAAAATTGTATACATTTGAACTTTACACAAGAAAAATTAAAAAAATTTTAACATACAACTCTATACAGTTAAACTCTACACGAGCAAATTAAAAAAATTAAACTATATTGAATTCTATACCGTTGAATTGTGTTTTGATAAATTAAAAAAAATATTAATGATAATTTCTATACCGTTGAACTCTACACATAGTAAAACTGTATACAAATATTTTTTACTAAAATAATGTTTTTAAACTCTGTACGATTGAACTAAGTACAGTTGAATCCTATGCACTTGAATTATTTTTTATACTTTTAATTTTATACTCTTGGACTCTATACAAATTAACTTGATGAAATAAGTTAAATTTAAATATTTGAGTAACATAGATTATATATAGTCCCACTGTGTAGGATTAGTCGTATACAGTTCCCCTGTAAACAATCCAAATGTACAGAATCTAAACCGCCCCTGAAATTGGACCTAAAAGTATAAAAAGATGTATCCTTTCCCAAGTAGCACGATATATCAACCGGATGTCACGGTGATATCACCGTAAGGCGGACATTTTGACATTTTCCTGATGTCACGGTGACATTCCCCGGTGATATCTGGTTGATATATCGTGCTACTTGGGTTTACTTTTAGGTCCAAATTCGAAACAAATATATACACTACCGTCGGAAATTGTCGGTACGACTAACGTGCGAGGAGTGAAAATTCGGTGCTAACTTTAAAGCAAGATATTTTAAGTTAGAAAAAGTTAGAGATTACTAACTTAGATGGTTGGAAAGCTGATAAAATTCTACTTCTGAATGTATATCAAGAAAATTTTTTTCTTTTTTTTGTATTTATAAGACCGAAAAGATTTCAAGAAAAAATTATGCAATTTTCGTACTTTCGTACTAATATTTTTGACTTCCGGCATAATCTAGAATAATTTATGGAAAAAATTTACAATTTTACATCATAATCTTGCTTTAAAGTGAGCACCGAATTTCCACTCCTTGCACGTTAGTTGTACCGACAATTTCCGACGGTAGTGTATATTTATATATATGTTACGGTCATTGTCAATTATTGGGCATTGTCGACAATGTCCGGTCAATGTCTAAAAATATTCATATCATTATTAACTTATCTGGGCATTGTCGACATTGCCCGATCCAACTTGGGCATACGTTCATACGTCATGAAATAAACAAAATTAATTATGTTTTTATCATAAAGTAATGAAAGTACTATTGATGGATTGAAAAAAATAAGTTAATATTAAAATTTTTATTTTATTATGAAGGAAAACGATAACTAAAACTCTAAATTCTCTGTGTGTCAGTAATCGTCAGAGATGACGATATCTAAAAATTTTAAAGTAGACATAAACAACTGACTTTTTTATTGAGTGATGTTAAAAACCTTTGTTTTCAATGCAAAAATAAATTTTATATATATATATATTAGGCCCTATGCGTTCAAAAAAAAAATTTTTTTTGAACGCATAGGGCCTAATTTTCTTCATTTTATCATAAAACACTCAGAAAATAAATTTGAGGCCATTTGGTGAATATTTACCCGTGCCGACTTTCATGAGAATGTGAAAATGTAGCTATTCCTTGATTTTTTCCACTATCTCATGTTATTTCCAAACGGTTTTTTCTGGCATGGCATATTTATGTGTTTTTTATGTCTCTGAGTTCATTTTTGAAGTCCAATTAAAAAAATTAAAAACTGCGGAACAGACATTGAAAAATAAGTTTCAAGCAAATTCGACGAATTAAAAACAAAAAAGTCCGCCATTTTGGTTCCGCAGTTTTTAATTTTTTTAATTGGACTTCAAAAATGAACTCAGAGACATAAAAAACACATAAATATGCCATGCCAGAAAAAACCGTTTGGAAATAACATGAGATAGTGGAAAAAATCAAGGAATAGCTACATTTTCACATTCTCATGAAAGTCGGCACGGGTAAATATTCACCAAATGGCCTCAAATTTATTTTCTGAGTGTTTTATGATAAAATGAAGAAAATTAGGCTCTATGCGTTCAAAAAACATTTTTGAAAAAAATAAGGGACACCCTAATATATATATATATATATATATCTGAATATTTTTTACCTGATTCGAGGCCATTGTTTCACGCAAATTGCTTTTGCAGTGGAAATAACATGAGACTTATATCAGTATACCTGCTAAAATATCTTATAATCTGGAACAGAAAATATGAAATTCCATTCTATTCCAGCATTATTACTGAGATTGTTATATGGAAATAAATCAAATAAATAATAAATCTAGGAGGAAGATACTGGACGACAAATTATTATAACCTACAATAAAATCATGTAAAATTTGCGTTAAGTAAACAAATTAAGCACGTGCATGAATATAAGTAAACAATGTATTCCCCCGCAGCACTGAAACTTTCCTAAAGATTTATTTGAAATGTTCGGAATATTTAGTTTGCAATGTTTAGTGAAAATTGTGTAAAGATTTAAATGTCCCACTTGAATAAATGTTCAGGAATGTTTCGCGTTTAACATTTATTCAAGTGGAACATTTAAATCTTTACACAATTTTCACTAAACATTGCAAACTAAATATTCCGAACATTTCAAATAAATCTTTAGGAAAGTTTCGGTGCTGTGGGGGTTATCAATTTTAATATTCCACTCCATCGGAATTATTTATTTTGCAATAGAATTACTGGAGAATATTATTTATACAGTTTATAAAAAAAGAATTCAATTTCTTACTAAATAACCCTTCATTTATATTATAAATCGTGGTCGTGAATATTAAAATTAAAGAAAGGCAAATATTGGAAAAGCACAATAATTGTTATAAGTTTTCATTGAAAAATAACTATTTTATTTCTCCTTTTAACTTTTATTGGTTTTAAAGATTCAACGTTTGTGAAAACGATTTATTGAATTTTCAAAACTTGCTTCACAATTATTTTAAAAATGTATTTAATATTTTCAAAAAAGAGATAATCTTAAATATATGAAATGAAACAGCTATAATTGAATAAAAATAAAGTATTTCAATAATTTATTTTAATAACACAGACACAGTAAAATTTGATGGTTATCAAAAGTTATTTGTTTTTAAATCAACTAAAATAAAAATATAGTTTCCTTTGAATATTTGTCATGCAATGACAATTTAAGTATCAGCTATTAACAGAGAATATAAAGTCATGCACGCAGTAATAATAATATATTAATTTTAATGTTCTCGACATTCATTATTTTCTCACTTGTTATTAACAAATTGTTTTTTCAACAATACTTATTAGTTAACATGCGGCCAAACACGTGATCAAAACAATAAAAACTGCACTGCACATAGAGATATATTGGGAACCGAGACGTATGAAAATCCCCTAAACTTCATATAACAGAAATGCCATTTGACAGAAATTTATATAACAGAACTTTCATTGGACAGAATATTTATATGGCAGACAATTCATATAACAGACTTTTCATTGGACAGACGTTTGATTGGACAGAATTTTTATCGAACAGAAATATCACTTAACAGAAATTTTATCTGACAGAATTTCCATTCAACAGAACATAAGTATAGCTGAACTCTAATTGGTCATAATTTAACTTTTGCACCATACATTCTCATCCCTGCTATATTTTTAACTTGTCGGTAAAGTAGACGTAGAGGTCAGTAGTTGCTATTTCTTTCTCGCGCCAAAGTTTGAATATTAAATAATAAAACTAATATTTTATTTATTTATAATGATTCGGTATTCATTATCAATAATAATGAAATAAAATATTAGTTTTATTATTTAATATTCAAACTTTGGCGCGAGAAAGAAATAGCAACCACTGACCTCTACGTCTACTTTACCGACAAGTTAAAAATATAGCAGGGATGAGAATGTATGATGCAAAAGTTAAATTATGACCAATTAGAGTTCTGCTATACTTATGTTCTGTTGAATGGAAATTCTGTCAGATAAAATTTCTGTTAAGTAACATTTCTGTTCGATAAAAATTCTGCCCAATGAAAAGTCTGTTATATGAATCGTCTGCCGTGTAAATATTCTATCCAATGAGAGTTCTGCTACTAAAGGCGCTTGTATACCTCACCGATCCCGAGTATTCTATCGTCGTGCAGCATTGGAGTAAAAGAGACAAAAGATAATTGTGTCTCTTTTACTCCAATGGTACACGACGGAAGTATACTCGGGATCGGTGAGGTATACAAGCGCCTTTATGTTCTCTTGAATGGAAATTCTGTCAGATAAAATTTCTGTTAAGTGACATTTCTGTTCGATAAAAATTCTGTCCAATCAAACGTCTGTCCAATGAAAAGTCTGTTATATCAATTGTCTGCCATGTAAATATTCTGTCCAATAAAATTTCTGTTATATAAATTTCTGTCAAATGGCATTTCTGTTATATGAAGTTTAGGGGATTTTCATGCGTCTCTGGGAACCGCATGTTACGAGCTGAATTGCATATTTAGCGCGCAAGCGTCAATTTCGGACTTTGATTCGCGGATTCAACCTTAGTTAAATTCTTTAAGAAGAAAGCGGGAAGTTTAAATAAAAACAATTGAATTACCGTTTGAAACGGAGGAAAAACCTAACGAGAATAAAAGACCAATTAATGATTAATTGATATTAACTAATTATTGATCAATTAATCTCGAGAGGAAACCTTTACTAAATTTATTAAAAGTCTTAGAAAATACATAAACGTCCGATAGGAGTAAGCTTAAGTATAAGCAACCTATTCGGAACGGAATATGGATTAGAACTAACTCTAGTTGAGTGGAGATCTACGTCTCTACTCTAAGTTCATAAAAGTCTTCTTTGCGCATGTCTCACTACAGTCTGCTGTATAAGGTTATTCAAGTTGGGTGGGGGAAAGCCAAGCTGGTGCACAAACATCCGGTCTATCAGCACACATTTCCACGTATTTCTCGTGGGAATGAATGCTGATAGGCCGGATGTTTGTGCACCAGCAATCATCCATCTTGGCTTTCCTACACCCAACTTGAATAACCTTATCTATGAGACTATGCACTACACTGCACTTCACTAGGTATCTTTACATACCATATTCTACACTGTACACAGTACTATATCTATTCGTACATCATACATCTTTATTATATATATATATATATATATATATATATATATATATATATATTCATACTTATATACATACACCATACTATCATACTTATATTATCATTATAATACAAGAATCAATTATATAATAATTTATATTCAGTATAAATTATATTTGAGTATCGTAATAGCAACTATAAAAAATCTATAATAATTAATAATTAATTATTGAATATAATTAATTATTATTATTATATAAAAGCCATACATATACATTTCTACACATATACAAGCATACATACGCATACATTATTACATATTGTTTAATACTATATATTGGTAGATGATGATTGTATTCTAATATTGTTTATGTGAATTTAGAATGCAACGTAAAAAGTATTTCATAGCGGATATTTTATCTATTGTTTGACCAGTACGTGACTTTTCTCGATTTAGCGAGTTATGTCTGTATCTGGTCAACATGTGTTTAGTGTCCCATGGAGAAATGTTTTATAACGTTTTCAAGTGGTATATTTTTTATGATCTTTTAAGGGTTTTATATTTCAGAGTGAAGGAAAGTTTTAGAATTATATTTTCTTTTCTATTTTACTTTATTTACGACAATTCTGAGAACTGTTTATATTATTGAGATATACTCAAACGAGAATTTGAGAAGTATTAAAGCGTGAAGGAAATATTTTACATTCGTCATGCTTTTTATAAACATCTTTATATTTTCCTTTAGAAGAAGTAAAATAACAAAATGTTATGTTAACTTAATTGTTTAACAATTTAATATATTTAAATTTAGAGCGATGATATCTCGTTAGTTCGAGATATCGAAAAGTAATTCGAGCGAGAATATAGTCGCTCGTTACACGCAGAGCTGCGATACGCCATCTGGTGTCGACCCACTTGCGGTAGCCATTTTTTATTTTGTCTCTGTCTAACATATGTATAAAGAAAGAGACAAAACAGCAAGATGGTTGCCGCAAGTGGGTTCAGGGTTGAGTAGTTACACAAGATTTCGGATCCCAATAGAGTGCGCAAGAGGCTCGAAAAAACGACAGATTATATGCGTTGGACAGAAAGAGACAGATGCGATTTGTTGGCCCCTTTCCCATCCTTGTTTCACGGATGTTTTATGGAGCGGTCACACCTCGGCTGCAGGAGCAGTTGCCCATGGCAACCGTGTAAGTGTAAGAGAGATAGAAGATTTTCCATCTCTCTTACTCTTACACGGTTGCCATTGGCAACTGCTCCTGCAGGCGAGGTGTGACCGTTCCATTAATCTGCTTGTTTCGAATTTTCAATTTTCAAAAGTTCTGATATTGGCAGGGATGGGTAAATGTCGCAAACTCAAGGTTTGCTACGTATGATACCTAAAATGTGTAGTATACGTAACAAATTGTCGCAAACGTCGCAAACCATATTATAAATATAACCTCACTTTTTGGATGTCAACTACTCGGACTCGCCTCATCATCATAAAAGCCTAAGCAGAATATCTTCGGGAAAGACGTTTGCGAACGTGAAACATGAGTTAGAAAAGGACAGAGATATATTCGTATCCTTTTCTATCTCATGCATCTCGTTCGCGAACGACTTTCGCGAATCTATTGTGCGTTGGCCTTATCAGATAAATTATAATAATGTCTCAGGCAACTCAGGTAAATAGATCTACCTACTGGTAAATATAAAGAGATGAAATATTCTTTAAATAATAATTTATTGCACTTCAGTTTAATAATTTTTATTAAGTTAATAAGTGTTTTTATATGTCTTTACTCTTTACTTTGAATTTCTATAATCCTTCAAAAAAATCTCGTCAATGCTTCTGAAAAATTAAATATAGATCTTTTTGATTTTTAGAAACAATCAAATCAATCAAACAAAAATTCAAAGACTAAACACATAGCGGAACCAACTAGATTGAGGTTATATTTGCTTCTGACCATTACGAGTGCCTACGTCATGAAATGTAACAAACGTTGTGTAGCAAACTGGACAAGTTGTATACACATGTAACATACGTAGCAAACTTAGGTAACATACATGAAGTATGATACTTACCCATCTCTGGATATTGGCGAAAATTAATTATCGATGCTTTCATAAAATTTAAATTGTATTAGTATTTCTCTTCTAAATTGAGAACGGAAGCACATTTAAAATCTTAAAATTTTTTACGAAATTATTGCAAATAAGATAATATTATTTAACTTAACTGAAAGTTCTCAATTCACCAATATTTAAATAGTTTATTTATTAATTACTGCTTACTTACCAACAAAAAACCAAAAATTAAATAACAAAAAGAGGTTATGTTGCCATTGATGCGGCTACTAGGGTTGTAAAGTTTCATGAAATTTTCGTTGAATGAAAGTTTCATGAAAGTTTCAATGCTTCATGAAACGTTTCAAAGTTTCAAAGAAAGAGGCGGGAATATTTAAATTTTATATAATAAATCCTTATTAATAATAATATTAATTAATTTAACGACTGGAAATAATAATGTTTTAAAACGGATTTTTTGGTCATATTTGATTTATTACTATATTAGAATTTTGTCTCCGTTTCGAACTGGAATCTGTTCATTTTCATAGCTATAAACATTTCATACAGAATACGACATTAAATAATTTTTCAATCAAAACAGTTTAAATAAATATAATAAATATCTCTCGATAATTATAATACATAAAAATAGCATACCAACGATTACTCGAAAATTAAAACAGATATTTATTATATTTAAATTGTTTTAATTGAAAATTTATTTAATGTGATATTTTGTTTAAATTTTTAGCCCTGAAGATGAACTGATTTCAGTTCGAAACATAGGCAAAATTATGATATAATATAATAAAATGTAAAACATTTTATCATGCGCATGTGCACATGAAGGCTCACTATTGGTTCTCCAATGTTTCATGAAACAAATGAAATTTTCGTCCATGAAAGATTGAAACTTTCAAATGAAAGTTTCAATCTTTCAATGAAACGTTTCACGACTCACAACCCTAGCGGCTACAATGTCGAAAACCTGGTTTTCTACAGTATTATACGTATAATACGTCATTTATGTACTATACGTAGAAAACCTCTTGAAAACACTTTTACCCATCTCTGGCCCTAAGTGTGGAATTAGCATAAGAAAGTGTAAATGCACCTTTATGCTTGCTTATGAAATGTGATCGCACCCATATGTTGGATCATGATCAGCGACAGAAGTGAGAACGTCATAAGATAAGTAGCAATTGTTTGAACTCTGTCCTTTCAACAAGTCCCATGAGGTCAAGGAATATTTATCGAGTAGTGAGCAAAAGACAAGAGATTCTTCCACTTTAATTAAATCATGGCGACCTTTTCTTTTGGACAAAACAATTGGCATAATTCATTAACTACGATCTTTTTCGACTTGGACAACACTCTTATCGAGACAAGAAAAGGAGACTGTTTAGCCTGTAAAAAGGTATAAATTTGATTTATTTTACTTCCTCAATTTCCTCTTACCTTACATTTACCATTGCTCACTAGAATTGAGAAATTTCAATATGTTCAAAATGTAAATAGTTTCAAAAGAAGTGGACAAATTTCAAAAATGAAATATGAAGTTGAAAATTATAACCTAGAAATTTCGTCTGCTATTGTTTTGTATTTATTAGGCGGCATATTCGAATAAATTTTAGAGTGTGAAATCTGATGTTTTTCTTAAATCAAATATAAAAGATTAATTAACTTACTTATATAAGTTTAGAAAATTTAGTACAATTATTTTTACATTACTGTATCGTAAAAATAAATTTAAATTGACATAAAAAATCAAGTGAATTATTTAATATGTAACCATATTTTTCATAAAATTCAGATTCAGTGTTTGAATTTATCGTAATTTACTTATGTTTGACTTTTCTGCAACGAAATTTTCTAGAAAATTCAAATTAATTGTAAAAAATAACTATTTTTTCAAAACTAAAGTCATCGAATACTGAAAATAAAAAATTTTACGAAGTCACTAATAAATAAGGAATTTTTTACCATTTGTTGCGTAAGTGGTGTATCAAGGTGGTTCCAAAAATAACGAATTTTATGTCTTTCTTTCAACATTTCTGTAGAGAAACAGAGTATTCCGGTTACGAAATATTGGGTTTCCTTGATTTTATATTAAAAAAAAAACATTCGACATCGATTCTTTAATGACACTCCAACGTTTCGAAATCCACGGATTTACTCTTCAAGATGTCTATTTGACATACATAAAAATTAAAAACAAAATTAAAATACAAATTAATGAATTAAAAATAACATAACATAGATTAGTTTATAAAAAAATTACTTTACTATAATAACAAAAATTAAAACAAACAGGGAAATAATAATTAAACACAATCTTACTGAATTATTAATAAGTTAAACATCAAAAACAATTGTAAAAAAACTTCATTTCATCCATTCCACAATCGTTTCAAATAGATCGTCAAAAATAATAAAAAATATACTTAAGCATTGGAAACATATAATCTGGAGTCAAAGAAATAAAAATAAAATTGAGGAGAATAATAAAATCCATAGTTAAAATAAATTGCAAATTAATATATTAAATTAAAGATTAAAATACCAATTAAAATAATCCAATTTTGTAAAAAATAAATAAAACAAAACTCCTTTTTTATTTATTTGAGGTGCAGATAGTAAAAACGGGTTTAAAAAATCTTGGGAGCAAAAGGAAGTTACTAAAAAATTAATTAATAACTAATATTATATAAAAAGATAAGATTTTTAATATTTTAAATATTTTTCTAAAATTTAACCTCGTAAATAATTTCTAACGTCACAATATTCCCACATAGCACGACTTCTTGCTGTGAGGTTACTGTAAGGATATGTGTAGGGTTTGTAAGGTTACCGTGTAAGCCTACAGTAAACTTGAGGTCATCTTAAAACTTTCGCCATTAGAGTAAGCTTACACAGTAAAGCGAAGGTAAGCTTAAACAGTTAGGTCGTGGTAAGGTTACACGGTAAAGTTGTTGTAAGCTTACCACAACTTTACCATGTAAACTTACCACGACCTTACAGTGTAAGCTTACTGTAATGGTGGAAGTTTTAAGATGACCTCAAGGTTACTGTAGGCTTACGCAGTAACCTAACAAACCCTACAGATATCCTTACTGTAACCTCACAGCAAGAAGTCGTGCTATGTTAGTTGTCTCTTGTTTTTTAGCCTATATAAATAACTTTTGCACACAAACAAAAAAAAATTCGGTTTTAAAATTAAAATTATATTAAAAGAATTTCTTTCTTCATTGATAGAAAATACTTTTATTTTTAATACGAACATTTTTTTTTGACAGCGATAATGAATATTTAAAAAACATTCTTTTATTATAAAGCAATAATTGTTACTTTTAAATAATTTATTAAGACAAAAAACTTTTTTTAACTGGAAAACGTATTTTTGACCTATTACAAATGTTTCTTTAACCTATTTATTCAATAAATTTTCTTAGATTTAATTTTTCAAAAAACAAAAAAATTTTAATTTTGCATTATTAATGTACGAGGAGAATGTATTTTAGGATACCATAATAAAAGTTTAATAATTATAATTTCACAGAAATTACTTTCATTAGTCGAATAACTTAATCAAAAAATAGTAAAATAATTCTAAGGATAGTAGACTTGCGGATATAAATTTATAAATTTATAAATTAAAATATAAATTTTTATAAATATATAAATTTTTATTTAAAGTAAATTAACAAAATTAAATATCAAATTTGGAAAAGTGAAACAAATTTTTATTACGAGCAAAAGTTGGATAGAAGGATACCTAATTTTTGCTCTTAACTTCTAGCAATTCGTCTTTCTTAGTACATAGTTCAATATTTTCCTTTTTTTTCAGTGAAACATAGTTCGATTTTGCTCACAAGATTTTTTTAAACCGTTTTTACTATCAGCCCCTCAAATGTTCTTAACTTAAAAATTATAAGAACTTAAAACAATAGTATCAAAATAAATTGATAAAGGAAGGATACGTATTCTGATAGTTTCCTTAATTATTTTTCAAACTATCTTATACAACATAAAATTGCTATTATTAAAAACCTGATTTACACGGTTTTGATCATTTCTGCTGAGAATTTTCATAATAAAAGCATTTATTTAATTAAATCTTATTTAAAACTCAATAACCATCCTGATGATTTTATTTATAAACATGTTAAAAAGAATTGTTGTTAATAGTAATAATTTAATTAATTTAATACCAATATTAATAATAATAACTACTAAAGAAAAGATAGTAGTTTTTCCTTAGTTTAGAATAATATCAGTAAATATTAAGAGATTGTTGAAAGGATTTGAATATTAAAATTGTTTTTAGTGTAGATCAGGGTGTCTTAACGGTCAGAGAAGTAAAGGGAAAAGTCAGGGAATTTCTTTAATTTTCTGGAATTTTTTCTAAATAAATTAAGGGGTTAGTACCACATCTTTTTTCAAGAAAATCGATTTTCTAAAAACTGCATATTCTTGTAGTAGATATATGTAGAAATGCTATGGAAACTATTATTTTGGTTGGAAACTTCGGTATCATATCGAAAAACGGGGTACAATGCAGAAGTCACGCGCTCATGGAGCGTATTCTTCGCGAGTAGAATGTATACTTTTATTAATATATATGTACCTATATAAATATAAATATATATCAAATTACACATATATGTATATAAATGTCGTAGGCAAATAGAAGAATTCGGCATTTAGCTAAATGCCTAGGCGTTTAGGTAAATGGCGCAAAATAGACGAAAGGACTTGGAAACTGATTTAATTCGTCTACTTGCAGGAATAGATTAGTCATTTAGTTAAGTGACTAGTCATTTGGTTATTTGCCTGAAGCTGTGTCGGCAAATAGAAGAAAATGGTTAACACATAGAAATAATAAACAGGAGCTGGAAACAAAATAAATTTAATTTCTGAAACAAACGTCAGATATGTACATTTAATTTATAGAAATTGTAAATAAATTATCAAAACAAAATAAATTTATTTTCTTAAATTTACACTCATTTTTGGTAAAAAAAATCGAAATTTAAATAAAAATTCGCGTCAACTACAATTTTCAATTTCATTTAGAGGGTACGGGAAGTATGATTATACTAAATAAAATTTGGTTTTGTAACGTAATTTAAGGAAATAAATTTATTTTGTTTTGATCATTTGTTTACAATTTCTACAAATTAAATGTACATATCTGACGTTTGTTTCAGAAATTAAATTTATTTTGTTTCCAGCTCCTGTTTATTATTTCTATGTGTTAACTATTGCATCGATTAAGCTCAAATTTTTATGGCTTATTCTACACATATACCGCTATCGTCGTAACTAGAATTATAATTTTTCATTAACATTTAACCATTTTTTAAAACAATTTAAGTTGCAAAAACAAGGTCAATAATGAAAAAAAGTCCGCCATTTTGTTTTTTTTCATCGAAAATAGTTGATTGTAGTTCCGACGATAGCAACGAACTTACTTTTCAAGAAAATATCAAAAATTTAATTTTTCGATGACCTGAATTGGAGATATCGTGTCCGCCAATCACAAGTAGGGGTATTTTCAGGCGGCCATGACAGCAAGATAATCCATAATAAATAAGAAATTAAAATTTTTTTTTTAATAGTTTAAAACCTCTTCTTTTAGGTATAAAAAGTTTGAAGTAAATAAAATAAATTTTGTAATAAAAAAAAATATTTAAGAAAAGTCACTATTAGATTCAAATTTTTTTTACTTTTTTCCCAAAGCAAATGCAAATTAAAAAGTTGGCCTTCACACTCAATTATTAAGCATGTGATATATCTTATATTCATTAAGTAAATAATTATTTATTACTATTTATTGAATCTAATAAATGATTTTTTAAACTTGGATAACAATTAATAATTTTTTTCAGTGAAATATTTGGTTTTTTAATATAAATAAAAATTATTTGATACAATTTTATTTTATCGGTTCAACTTCAAATAAAGATGACGCTGAAGTTACCAACGTTGATTCGACGAATCGACGAACGAATTTTTCGTTTTCAGATTAGTTTAAAGGCCAAGAACCAATTTTTTTAAATTGAAACTTCTTTATTTTGGTCCCGAATACATCTTTAAATACTAAAAATCCTCAATTAAGGCGGGGAAATCTTCAATCTTAGGAAAAAGAAAATTCTTTTCGTCGATTCAACGTTGGTAACTTCAGTGTCATAAATAAAGTAAATTATTCATTAATACGAATAATTTATTATTTAATGCTAATACCCACATTTAACTTATAAAAATTTTTACGGCGTCGAATCTTAAATTATCGAATTTCTACTTATCAAAATTGTATAAAGTGGATTTTATATTAAATTATGCAAAATTTTCATATCGAAGAATTTACATTTAACTAAAATTCAATTTAAAAGAATTTCTATTTAGCAGAACTCT